GAAGGTTTCTCGAGAATTGTCTATCTTGTTAGAGATTTCCCTGCCGGTCACCTGCCATGAGGCACTGCGTTCGGCCTTCACTTTACAAGGCGGGACATCCTCCATTTTTTGCCAGTGGCCTCATAATCTCAAACAGATTTTTTGCTTACAGTCGGTGACTTTTGCTGAATATTCTAGTCTCTCACAGACAACAGCGTTTCACACAAATTCGTATCACTTCATTTCTGAGGAAGATCTTCAAATCCTCATTCCTGCGCGTTACCAGTTTCCCGCTTTCACCTTCGCTTAGCGCTTCCATGTCCAGGCCGTAGAGCTGGATATGTTCAAAATGTAAGTGATTTATATTTGCAGCCTCTTGCTATTGACCAAATTTTTATTCCGCTGCAGCATGACTAGCTTGCTACCCATTGCTAGTGCCAAACCATACAGCATCATAATTTCGTTTGTCGCTAGTTCCCTTGCAGCTGTTATACTTCAAAGACACAGCTGCTCTGGGATCTTTGCCCAATAACTTCAGCATCAAGGATCTTTGGCCTGGGTTCTACCAGTTTCCGTCCACTTCGTATTCTTTAAGTTAATCGAGAGACCCAAATCAGAACACTTCTGTTTCAGAGTTAGGAACCGTGATGTCGCAGCTTTGGCGCTGTTTCCAAGCAATACGATATCACTCCCCGCAAATGTTGCTTAGTCTTGCCACAGTCGTAGATTCAGTCCTTCGTAATGGTTGGAGCACTCAGTCAAGAAACACCGCGAGCAACCAATTATATCCCGCTCCTACCGTACTCTGAAGACCGTACATAATAATTTTTCGAACTTTCCATCAATTCGCTTTGTACTTGACAAAAGATCATAATGCTTTTCATTTATACGAATGTTCTTTGGTAAGAAACCATTTTGTTTACCAGCTTTCTCTAGACATCTGTTCAGCTGAATCAAAGAGTCTGGTGTAATTAACGATGGTTGCAAAGAATTTTGATTGTCATGCTCTATTCGCCTCCATTTGCCGTCTCATTGTGAGCCTCCTATAAGCACTCTTCACCCGTCCTGAATCTGAACTTGTCTTCAGTCCAATATCTTTCCAAAATGTTCCCTAATCTTATTCATACTCACACTCTGAACGCTTTTGCAGGAACGGATTGTAGGTTTATTCCACAGTGGTAACATGGATGCGCATCACAGCCTCTCTGAAATAGGGAAGCCACAACGGCCTCCGCTTTCATTCGAGATATCCCATTTTTCTGCCTGTCAATCTAATAAGATTTACTCATTTCAGCACTTCGCATGTTCCTAGCTCTTTAAATAGCTCTGGCTGGATTATGTCAATTCCTACAGCTCTGCCATATTTCAGTTGGCATGGGCTTCATCAGCGTTCTCGAAAGTCGATAGCATAGCGTTGGCATCCATGCCTGGCTAAGGAATAATATCTTCAATGAATTTTTTCGCAGTAACATGAAAGGGTGATACCGACTCGAAATATCTTCCTCATGTTTCTATCGCCCTCTTTTTAGCGGTTGTTTATTGAAGTAGTTTTAGCAATTGACTTTTCCTGAACAAGATCTTAGAATCGTTTCTTTAAGTCGCCTTCTAAAAAGTGCCCTATCTTTCCTTTATAACCATTTAATCACTTTCCATACTTTTCGCTTAAAACTTTTGTTATTGACATTGGCAAGCCAGTTCTGTTCTTATAATCGCTTAGTTTGCAAACTTATCCATTGTCCCGTTGGTTTTTTTTTCACAGTGCGCATTGCTCCTCTTTCATGGTCACCATTGTCCCTTTCCATTGTTGCAAACATGTTCTACCGACATATTCATACAGTCAGTTTTGAAGACCGTTAATCCTTTGAAGTCGACGAGGAAGAAACGTCAGGCAGTCTCTCAGTGTCTCCAAGGCACTCGATCTTGCGCCAGCGACTGAACGTCTGCAGAAAACAGTCGGAGTATGGAGTAGAGTGTGTCGCTCTGTCGATATTTCACCTCTATGGCCAACAGGTGGCCAAAAGTTTGCGCCAGTCACCATCATGACATGCTTGTGAAGGCTTTGGTTATTTCGCTTTGGCTCTTCAGTTTCAAACGCGCGTAAAACCATCTGGCTGTAACTTTAGTCACTCTCCAGTTCTCGGTCGCTGCCGCTTTCAGCATTTCTTTACACACTGACCGATCGTGTAAAGTACTTTGAACTGAACCAAAGGAAAGTGACGTTCTTCGATCAGACAGCACTGTGTCTTATCCACACATAACGACGAATCTCTATGCAGCTGACTGAATGGACTCTCTCTGCGCAGGAGACCTGT